TCAGTACTATGTTTGGTGCCAGGAGGAGAAATAAGAAGACTGCAAGAGACTCACAATTGATATCTTACTCACTAGTATACGAGATAGGCAGTGAGGCAGGCAGTAAATTGATCAATAAATCCGGCTTGTATGACAAATCTTAAATCATGGAATTCCTGTTAAGATTCAGAGCAGAATATTTCTCGAGGATGGCCACACGGAGAAATGTATCACCCACTATCACTCGCTTCATCTTTAGTGGTATAATGTTCGCTTTCCATCGTTCTGCTTGCGAAAGGTCAGGTGTTCGATTCGCTGCTTGTTCAGTACGTATTTATTTTTGACGCAATGATTGACCTGGGGTGCTCAGTGCTGTCAACTGACAGTCATAACCCGACCCAAAAGGCTTGTTCGCGGTGCGTCAAGTAACAGGATTGTTTCAAAGTCTACAGCATGCACATAGATTTAGCAAAATTCCTTTATTATGTTGCAAATTACTTGGAAATATTTGCTCTATTGATGAACATAGCCTCTCAAGTTGGTGTTAGGAGCGAGGGGTTACTAGAAATCCTCGGACATGTGTTCCGGGCTCTGGCCGGTAGAACTATATATATTGAGGAAATAAGATAGTAAATGTTCATGCACAGGAGAAAACAAAAAGCGAATCATGGACAAGCGGCGAATTGAACACCGGACATTTCACAAGCAGGAAGTGCTAAACAAATGTTATACCACTAAACCACATGCCTTTGTCAATAGACAGGATATGCATCTATACCGATGCATGTATATTGATTGAGATTGCTAAAAAACTATTTCAATCACTGTATACTTGGTGGTTTATCTCACTGAATCATAGTTAGTTACAAAAGTTACCGACTCTGAAACCTGCGAGAAGTAGATACTTTAACTCGAACTGAATAACCGAGTATAATCGTGTAAGAATATTCATTCATTGATGATCTTATTCGATAGAAATGTGCTTACTTTTCAAGGGAGCCTTTGAATTGAAATCAGCGAGGTTCAGGTCAGACTTAGTACCTGTGTGACTCCGTGACGTGACTCTGGTCTTCTTTTCCCGTATCGCTCCAAAAATTTCGGATGTCAAGCACTTGTATTCTAACGAAATTGAAGGGGACTTCACATTGCTACTTGTTCGAGATTCAAGACTCTATAAAGAATTGTGATGTAAGTAGGAAAAGGATCCGAAACGTTTCTTTTTTGAACTGAACGCTGATTGTTCCCATACTTACACAATTTTAGGCAATTCTATATCCTATAACATAGAAGGAACTGTACATCACATCCATATGTATGAATGCATGACTTGGACGCCATGGTACTGGTTTGGGGATTATGGCAACAATATTTATAGCTCAGGACGTTCAAGTTTCAAGCCAACAAGAAGCCTTGAAATTTTTTCTCAACGTGTCTTTCTTAAGTCCCAGTGCATGATCGCCTCTCAGCTACTTTAGACAATGAGTCTTTCATTGACTGAGAGTGAGAGACTCTCTACGATGCCTTTCCGTCTGTACCTCTTGTTGGAACACTACAAGTGCGTAGAACCACAGCACACGTTTTGCTGGCGTAGTAGTAACCGTGGAAGGGAATCGCATGAATGGCATCAACCCCTTACTCTGCAGGATCTTTATATTTGGTGCACGGATTGGGTACTGTGTATTGAGCTTTCTGCCCTCGAACAGTGCTTACTAGGTCTCATGTAGGCGTTGAGTTACTCTGGCAAAGGTTCCCCATACTGGATGAACATCCGTATTCTCGATGATCCCCTGGATTCTCCAATCACGTGTAGCGACGATACGGTTATCTGCAACGATCAGCAAAAAGGTGGCAATTCTGTTATTCCAATGTATCGCGTTCTCAGCAATCATTCGGAGAGTTCTGAAACCTCGCCCCAATGGAGCTCAAGCTCTGAGTCTTCAGGTGTGGCAGGACCAGGATATCTCTCCGGGAAAGCTTTGAAATGGCTAGGAGAACACGTTATAGATGCGCTCGAAAGGATTATCATCATGAAGACTGGTTTTCAACATGTTGCCACGTTAAGCAGATGGCAGAAGAAATATTCTAATGGATTAACCATCGAATGGAACTCTGTAAACATACCACAAGTTCATGAAATATTAACCGACCTACTTCGTTTGTCATGGTCAGTCCTATCCAGTTCCTTTAACTGTCCATAACTTATATTCTCCTTTCTACAGGGATTATAGTATAGATCTGCAACGTCAAGGCTTTAAGATCTGCGATGCGTTTATAAGATTCCTGGATACCGCGGTCGAACTTAACAGAATACACACTAGTTTCCTAGCATTTGTCTCACTTCCACTTATGGCCGTGTACGTCGTCGTTGATCATTCAATAAGCTATCACCACTGATATAATACATATTTTCAGTCATTTTCTAAAGCTTTCTAATAATAAAATTGCATACGACCTTTTGGCGATCGCAACGGTAGCCTTGGCAGACTATAAGGAGTCCGAGTCGTCTCCAGTGATGTTGCCTTTTAGTAACGCAATTCATCAATTAAAAGAGCGCACCTCGATATTGCATATTTATAACGCATTGCTGAAGATAATTGACTCCAGTGCTAGCGGTATATACAAGAGGCTCAGTCTAGCCATCCTTCTGGATCAAGATTTTCCCCTTCCAGCCTCGCAAGCCCTTCCAGAAAACTGGATACATACGCTATTGGGACAGCTAAAGAATTTTCTCATTATAATCTCCGGATGGGAGGAAGGAGATGACTCAGATCTTCAATTTCGGGGTGACTTTATTCTGCACACGATGGAAACAGCGGTGATCAAGATATCTTTTTGCATGTATGTCATACTACCGGTCGTTACTCTAAGCTTCTTCATTTATTTGCTGTTTACAGGAATGCGTTTTCTTCCGATGTAGAGGAAGTAGTCGACGACGTTTGTTCAGGTATCCGTAAATTTGTTTTCAAGAATATGCTACGCCTCTCTCAGGACACGTTGAAAACTCTATTAATACAGTTCATATTGTTGTAAGTAGTCTTTCCTTTTCTATACGAATGAGTCTAATTATTCTAGGGATGCCATCATAACTATGACACGGGGAGGAGGTATAAAACGAATAACGTTTATTCGTATCATGTTCCGTAAGTTGACTGTACGATCTCTATCGACTTGAATTAAACGCATGTATACGAGGTTCAGTGTATCCATATCTTTCACATCAAAGATTTGCGAAATATTCTGGGATCTGTATTCCCATCTCACACCTGCGTTATTTATCCGAAGTTCTGGAATCCGACCTCAGAAGTCCAGATTGGGTTCTTCAGTCGTCTTTGTTTGTTTCGTCCTTTATTATGCTTTTTTTTAACAATTGTAATGATATTTTGACAGCAACGAATTGCAAATCATCAATGAAATGCTGTCAAAAACTTGTACGAGGAATCCGCAATGGTCACATCAGCGTTCTATCCAGGCGCTGATTACTACAATATCGTATGAAAAGTCCACATGGACGTATGTACTTCATTCTAAAGCGGAATGGAAAGAAGGCTTCAAGTTGCTTGTTGAATTGATGGAAGACGGGGAAGATGTGGCCTGCCAGTGGCAGGATCTCGGATGTGTTGAATGGTCTGTGTTCATGCTACGATTGCTGCGGCTCACTGTACACGATCGTATCATGGGATTCCAGTGCTGGCAACTCATGTCGAGCTCACAGCAAAGCCACCATGAAGGCCTTTCCCAACTGATCAGCGATTATAGCATGGACATCACTCGTAAAGTGAAGTTCATCTAATCATATAGGCCCCACCCTCGGTTATCGTATCTTCTTCTTGGAAATTATAATCTTCCGGATTATCCAATATATGTGGTGATGTTATATGATGAAAACGGGAAGGTCGTAGCTTGCTCTACGCTTGCTGCGAATGTTTCTGTTCGAGATTTGAGGGGGTCATTCCATGTTGTGTAATGGTCTGATAGATCAATATCTAGTTCAGAACCTATAATTCTATGAGTATTATAAAATATTCAAATGGTATTTCCTACCTGCATGCGATCTATTTTTTGGTGTGACATCGATAATAAGGAGATTCTTTGCCCTAGCTTTGACATACGGTTCCTCCACTCCGTCACAATAAGCTTATCAACGATATCTTCTAGCTCATCTACCTCCGTTCGTCTAGATGATATGGTATGAATCTTGGATTCGCAGAGGATGATTTAATGAAAACACATACCCGCAGTCATTTGTTCCGTGCCAGAATACTGGAGGTCATTATAAAGTGCTCCGAAATTGCCAATACAAAGCAACATACCATATGAATTCTCCTGGCTTTTCTGACACGTTTGGATAGTCTTTGAAGTAACTCGCCATTTGATCCACAAGATCATCTTCAACCGTACTTCCAGGAGTGGCGTAATTGCATACGGTGATGCTTCCTTTATGGTCTTTCTTTTTTAATTCGTTTAAGTTTCTTGAGAAATGCTTCCGCTATATCCTACCAGGTTATAGTAGGAACTAGAGGCTTTAAGGCTCACCCAAGTGGCATTGTTGCCATGACGCGTACAAGAATCTCCACTTGAAACACATAATTAGCACAAGTTAGTTAAACGTTAGTACTCTCAAAAAGGAGCTCACAAAGCAATAATTCTGGTAATATGATCAAGTCCTTTCCATGCTGAGCGAACAGTCCTAAACCGGAACATTTGGAGTTGACTCTCGCAGGCGGCTTCGTTCTCCTTGCTATGCGAAGGCGAGGGGTAATGAGCAAGTATTTATGAATACGTTAGAAATTCTTGAGATAGTATTGTGTGAGTTCGTTGAGGTTACCAAAACAATAGCGATGATGATGATGATAGTGGTGCAGTGGTGGCACGGGCCCCTCGGTAGGAACGCCGAGCGCTGTTACTGTATGTACAAGAATCCGTCGTGTGTCGGGAATCCGTCGTGTGTCAGGAATCCGTAGCTGGTGTCTACATACGCAGATTGAACGCCAGTAATTTAAGACGAAGCGGATTCAGACGGAGAAATATTATCAATTCCAACCATTTTCCATGATATATATCTCGTTATGGCCAGGTTACAACCAGTCAGTGAATATCTGAAGTCGTTGGAAGACATTGCGTACGGGGTAGACCGCATCCACTCGCAGAAGAATCATCTCGCTATCAGAACGACCCATACTATCCTCGTGTCCGGTGAGCAGATCCGTATTATGCTCATTCGAAGCAAAACAGAAAAGAAGAGATGAGGTTAAGTAGCATGATGATAAAATCGCAGACAGATATTGCAAACATATAGCTTTCGTACGGTCTGGCTTCTCGAGATTCGGTGTGGTAGAGTGTGCAATCATTGTTCAATAGTGGTGGTCTACAGTACATACCTAGAAAGCAATATAATTAGCCAAGCTTGAGCCGCAAAGTAACAAAACTCACTTCTGAGAATTCAATGGCTTAAACGCAGCTTGCACAATCTGACGAACCTTGCGCTCCCATGCGACCAGGTTTACGCGGGTTGTAATTTCTGCGCGCGCTCGCTGCAGGTTTTTGGAATGCGGTTGCAAAGCGACATGCAAATATGCAAAAACTAATGCATCCAGCGGAGTAGGTTCTCTGGAGAGAATGTCAATGATGAATCATGGCGAAAGGAAAGGACACTTACGAAGAGCCCAAGAACCATTTGTCCGTCCCCAAACGTTCAGAGAGAGCTGCAATCGCCTCGCGGTACCTCTGACGCAATGAATCGGCAGGAATG